GTTTCTGCTACCCCTCCCCTGTCCGACTGGGAACTCTTGTTACACTTGGCCCACCTGGGTGTCTGAGGAAGACTCTGACACCTGACTCTGTCTAGACTGTCATTTTCCCGGGCTCCTCAGCAAGACCCCTGGGGCTCTCAGGCCAGGTATGTCTCCAAGCGTTAGCACTTGGCCACCACCCTGTGAGTGTCCTGGATCAGAGGGGCCCATGGCTGTGGGTTCAAGTCCCAGCTCTTCTACCTAGCCTTAGTCCTTCTCTTGGCTCTCAGTCTCCACATCCATACACTGGGCTCAGGACCATGCAGATCTCAGACTGAGGGGTTGTGGTCTACATAGAGAGGTCCTTCCGGGTGGATGCAGCCTTGTAGTTGTGGCTCAGGAGAGGGGGCACAGTCCTGGGGCAGACACAGCTCCCTGGTAAACCTCGGGGCCCAGTGGCCGGAATGGGGACAATGCTTCAGTCCCTCCCCGTCACCAGGCACCAAGTTCAGGTCCCAGTGTGTGCACAACGTTGAGCCCTGGCTGGGTCAGAGTTGCCAGCGTGGTGCTTTCTCTGTCAATTGGCTCAGCGCGGAAAAGGACCACGAAAGCTATTTAGAATGATGCCGTCTCAGACTGCCCCCTGGCGGTCACTTGCTGTATGACTTGTACAACTCAAGAACCTTGGTGTCATCTAGTCCTTGGTTCTGGCAGGGTTGAGGTGGGGGGTTCCTCTGCCTGCAGAAATCATCAGAACCAGTGTTACATCAACATCACCAGCCCCCCGGACCCCGAGAAAAGGATCCTGTCTCGAAGCAGTCATCATGGGCCAGGCCTACACTAGACATTTGAGAGACAAACAATACCTCCTTCCTCCATAGTCTCTTTACTCCTGGAGGCCTCCCTGTGTCCCAGGGTCCTGAACAGCAGTGGCAGTCACTGCCTCCAACAGACTGAGCTCCCTCAGGACTGCCTCCCCCATCAGACTGAGAGTGTATGCCGTCTCGCTTTCTCTCTCTCTTCCCTCTCTAGTCCACCTGTTGTCTGGGGGTCAGGGAGACTTCCGATCTGAGAGTTCAGCTGGAAGCTCCCATCCTCATCTCTCCCAGGATGTGCCTTCCGGGATCCAAACCAGACCAGGCCAAGCCTTTCTCCTTCTCCAGATCTCCTACCTACCGTGTGCTGACAGAGGTCCCATGTGCACCCTGCTAACTGCTGGAGAAGCATTGACTCCCACTGATACTGTAGCCTCCAGTACGCAGGGGCCTCTACACTGATGTCTCCCTTGCCCGATGCATCAGGGTACCTGCTGGTGAGGACAGGCTGACTGGGTCTTGGCCAGGATCGATCTTCCGGATGTGGGACCTTGGGCAAACCTCACGTTTCCACGTTCAGTCACCACCTATTAACTGAGCACCTACTGAGGGTCCTCCCATCCACAGGTCCTCCCATCCACAGGATGCCCACACAGGTCTGCCAGGATCTCTGCTCCTCTTTCAGCCGTCAAACTTTGCCTTTCTTGGAGAGACTCCTCACAAGATCTCAATGACAAACCCAAGGGCAATTTCACCACAGTTCACCCTGGGGAGACAGTGAATTTGGCTCACTTACAGAGTGTGGGTGAGGAGTTTCTTTCAGGAGCCTGGTGGGGCCCCAAAGCAGCTGCATGCAACAGCTACTTCACCCAGCGTGGATGATGGCTTCCGCATCACCATATAGACAGAACCCCAGTCGATCCACTTTCCCTAGCCTGTATATTCTAGCAACTCCTGAGGGCAGAACTACATTCGGTGGCTGAGAAGCGTGTCTGAAAACCCAGCGAGGACCCAGTGACCTTCCCGTCCTCTCTTCTGAGACGACAGCAGCAGCAGTCAGCAACCAATGGCCTCTTCTGAAGGAGATCGCTGCTGTTTTGCTCAATAGAGGGCCCTCTACATTCAGAGGGCCCATCCCCCCTCTGCTTCTGCTCTCCAGATGTCACATGTGCCCCAAGTGTCCCCAAGCATCCCCGTTTTCAAACCTCTGTGTACAGAGAGCCTTCCACCAGTTATAGCTGCCAACACTCTACCCAACCTTCAAAAAATCTGTTTTCAGGGTCACCATAGACTTGAAGCTGTCCCCAGGTCCCCTTGGCCCTCGGCAGCAGCTCTCCTTTCACAGGCTCTGTTGACCCACCCTGACCCTGAGCTCTCTCCAGTGTCCCTGCTGACCCCGGGACTGCCAGGCGAGCACGGGTCTGATTCATCTCTGGAGTGGCTCCTGCAGATTAGTCTGCCTTCCCCCGTCCAGCCCTGCACCGTCCTTCTCCATGCTCCAGTGCCCACAGCAGGGCGGGCGGGCTCTCTTGGCTGTAGATGTCTGTTTATTGATGGACAGCCATGGGAGGGGCCTCTGCCTGGGTCTTCAAGACCATGCCAGGGGAACAGAACCTGAGGGGTGAAGGGGGCACCCTAGCACTGTCTGCCCATGAGTGGGTGTGGCAGAGGGCACCCCAGGCGGGCAGTAGAAGGTCACAGGGCAGATGGGCTGTGGGGTGAGTTGGGAAAGGACAGAGCATCCCAGGGAGGACAGCCACACATCTTGGAGCTGTCTGGACATTGCTATCGTTTGCTTCAGCAGAATTCCAAGGACTGGGAAGGTGAATGTGGACATGCAAGGAAGAGCCACCTGCCTCCCCCCTAGGATGGCCCAGTCTCAGGGAGGTACCAGGGCTCGGGTGTCTATCAGGAGACCTATGTTCTGGTCCCTGACCTGCTATCAGTAAGCTGTGCAACCTTAAGCAAACCCCTGCCCCGGTCTGAACGCCAGAATGTACAGCGACAAGACTGAATCAGCAGGAAGAGAATCACTGTAAACATGGGGCAGGCGGAAGCATCCATCCCACCCCACCTGCGTCTCTGAGTCAGCCAGGTGGGGACCCTAGACCTTCTGCTTATCCCATCCACCCCTCTCCATCCCAGGCACCCCCTGCCCCGTGAGCTGCCCTCTCTCTCCTCTCTTTCGGGGGTTCTCTTCCATCAGCCTCACCCCAGTCCCCCAACTGTTATGCTGCCAGCCGAAGCATCAGCTGCTGTGACCAGCTCCTGCCCTTACGTCATGGTGAGTCAGAGCCCCGCCTCCAAGCTATATCCACATGTTCTTGAGAGCGATGATAAGAAGGGCAGGCACATCTGCCTGCTCAGTGCCAGGCCGCAGAAACAGGACAGGACCAGAGCTTGGCCGCAGGCAGGTCTGTTTTTCCTCCTCCACACAGGGGCAGGAGCACCCCTCACGCTGAGTGAGCCACCCGGGTGTCCTTATAATAAAGAATGGTCCCTCGACAGGGACCTCAGCGAGGCTAGGCTCGGAGGGCAGAGTACCAGGCTCTGAGCAGCTGGGACAGAGCCCTGCACCCGCTGGAGGACAGATGCTCAAGTGTTGCTCACACTAGCATGTAGTCGGTGCTTCATACAAGTAGTGGCTTCAGCTCTCTCCACGGATGCAGGAGGCTGCAGTAATTTGTGCTGCTGTCGTCATGCCAACATGACGATGGTGATGGTCCTCAAGAGATCCATCATCACCAGGGGCTCCAGCCCCTTGGCAGAATGGTACAGCGTTGCCTCATAACCTGTGCACAACCTCCCATGCGCTTTATTTTCTTACCCTTTTCTTTTTGGAGACAGAGTCCCACATAGCCCAGGCTGACCTTGAACTCACTAGGTAACCCAGGATGACCTTGAACTTCTGATCCTCCCGATTCTACCTCCCAAGTGCTGGCATTATAGAAGTGACGTCATCCCTACTCCCGGGCACGCGCACTGTAAACCCAACTGTCTCGGGGTTAGTTGCCATGCCCCGTGTCTGGTAAAGGCTCGTTCTGCACTGTATGATGACCACCTAATGTTCCTTGCAGACTCGAGTGTGTGTTTAAGTAACACGGTTTATATGAGTCTCCATTTACACCTACATCTGACAACCCCAGGGCTGACACAGAGTCATCTGTACTCAACTTTACTCAAAAACTCAACTGCCAGGCCCTGGGCAGCCCCACCAGGCTAGGTTTCTGCTCTGCACAGGGCCTTCAGCCCCAGCCCAGGCCCTTGCTTTAAGCCATATTCATCCCTCAGGGTTGTCTCTAGGGACACGTGTCTGGTAAACAGACCCAGCGACTCCTCTTCCTGGGAACAGGAACGGCCATGGATGGAGTGTGATGAAATTTGCCTCACACATGGGTTGCTTCGAGCCCGGCAAGGTTTGCCAAGGAGTGTCCGGCCACTCCGGGCTCCTGAATGAGCACATACAAATGCACACAAGAGTATCTGTGTGAGATGTGGAGACCACGCATGCAGAAGGGTGTGTGAGTGCCGGCAATTAATGGAGCCACTGCTGCTCTGTGACAGAACTCCCCAGGTGGAGCAAAAGACTTGTCCCTAAGTTTCCTCGCCCTCCCGGAGCCCTGGGAGGAAGTCTTATCTTCCTGCGTGAGACCTCTATCCAGCCAGGAGGCCACTAGTGTGTCCTGGCTCTCCCTCAGAACTCTCACCCTGGGCCAGCATCCTCCTATGAGCAAGCAGGTGACTGTCAACAAACCCTGATCTAGGGGCTAGGGAGATGGCTCAGTAGTTAAAGGCACTGTGCAGGAAGTCTGACCACCCGAGTTTGATCCCTGGGACCCACATAGTGGACGGAAATAGACTCCTCCAAGTGTCATTTGAACTCCATACTCGTGCTGTGGAACATACACACACATGCACGCAGGCGCGAGCGCGCACACACACAGTAAATAAAGTCTCGACCCTTCTCAGTGTGCTTACTGGGATGAGACTCCTCCTTGCAGAATTCCCCTCTCCCAGCCCTCTCCCCTGACCTTGAACTCCAGACAGCAGGTGCTACTCAGAAGTGAGGCCCAAAGTCTTTTCTCACAGGGCTGAGTCCAGGTTACCCCGGGCTGCGACAACAGGTGCACGGGCACGGAGGGGGCGGGGCGCACTCCAGCACCGCCCTCCGCCCTCTGCGCTCCCTGGGTCTCCCCCGCCCGCCGCGGCGTCGCCGGGTCCTGGCAGCTGCGGGCGCGGCGCGAGGCAATTGGGACGCGGCAGCGGGGACGACGACCCAGGCGCTAGCGGAGGCCGAGCCGAGCAGCCCCGGCCCGCGGAGACATGAGCGCGCGGCCGCCCGCCGCACCCCGGGCGCAGTGGCCCGGCCCCGCCGCTCCGTGATGGGCTCCTGCGTGTCGCGAGGTGAGGACCCGGCGGCCCGGGACGCGGCGAGGGGCGGGAGCACCAGCGCGCGGCCCCGGGGAAGCCTAGGGTGGGTGTCCGCCCTTCACGGACCAGCCGCACCCCAGGGGACGCGGTGCTCCATTGGGACAGGGCTCAGGAGGAGGGCGGGCAGCTTGCAGAGCCGGCGGAGGTCTCGGTACCCCACGCCCCACTCGGCACCCGGCAGGTGGCATGAAGCAAGGTCCCGGTGCCATGCTTTCTTCTGCAGACACACGCCTCCCGCAATGTGCCTGGGAGGGGAGGATGGCTTCCGGTTCTTTCTGGTCCTCTTATGGGCCACTGAGCTCGAGGAAGACAGGCAGACCTCGCTCCTTGGCCTTCCTAGCCCGGGGTCCCTTTCCCTCCCGGTGCCTCCGTCTTCAACCCTAGAAAGCCCCTGGCAGGAAGGGGTCAGCAGGGATGAACAGGTTATCGAGGTTGGCTTTACCCCACCCTCATCCCTAACTCCATCCCCACCCCCATCCCTGCTCAGGGGACAGGAGAGGACAGAGGACAGCTGATGTTCCCAGTAACCCCTGGGCCTTTGTCTCTGACCTGGTACCTTGGTCATCCCCAAGGTGATTCCAGGGAATGGGAGTGACTGTCCCTCATCTGCTGGAAGGGGTGGGGCACCTGACTGTGAATGGGGGGCGTAGGGTCTTTCATGGAGGCTGGGGGATGGGCATACCTGTCGTTGGAGTAATATTTTAGAAGAGTTTGGGAGGTGTCAGGGCATGCCTGTAATCTCAGCACTCAGGAGGTATAAGATCAAGAGTTCAAGGCCAGCATAGACGGTTCGTGGCCAATCTGGGCTATACTCCTGAGACCTTGTGTCAAAACAACCCTCCCCCCAATAAAAGGTTGGGTCATTGGCCCCACCCCCCTTAGGACTCTTACCCTCCGTGGGAGCAGGGTTGGGCTGGGAGTAAGAGCCTAGAGACCAGGGCTCCTTACCCAAGGTCTTTGACGATTCCACTGGCCACTTCAGGCAGAGAAGGGTCAACTGGCCTTGGAGTGGGGCTGGGCAGGCCCTCGAGGGGATCTTGGTCTGGGGAATGTTGAAAAATCCATCCTCTGGACTCTGATGGAGTTCTGCTCCTAGTTCAAGGAAAAGTATTCAGGGAACTGACTTAGGGTGTCCCTGGAAGGTGTCAGCAGTGGGGTCCTGTATCAAGTTGGTTCAAGCTGATTGATGGTCACAGGGCTACCTGCTGGGTGTCAGTCACTGTGGTCCTATGAGCCCAGCATGCACCTGGCCTCTGAAGCAGAGGGTAAGAAAAGGTGTGAGCCGTTCCCAGAAACCCTGGAGACCCATGGAGGCAGTTCCAGGAGTTAAGTATCTGGGTGTTTCCTTGGTGACTAGGTTCCTTCTCCAGCCCTTCGCTCCGCAGCTGTGGGGTCCCGGCCCTGAGTGCACTGTCTGGTGAGCCCAGGGTCCACAGAGTACAGGATAGAGACTAGACAGCGGGGATGCCTGCCAAGGTCACACTGTGAGGCTGAGACCTGGGTCCTCTATTTCCCATGCTTCCTCCACGACTCCCCTGCCAGGGCAGTTGAGGTCACACTGACTGACTCTCCGACCTTTCCTCTTGCGTCCTGAGTGCCACCCCCAGATCAGGCTGCATTTTCTAACCCTCTCCCCATCCTGAGATGACAGAGCCTGACAGTCTCAACATGCACTCCAGCAACTTAGAAGTGAGAGGTATGAGCTGGGCAGTGGTGGCGCCTGCCTTTAATACCAGCACTCAGGATGCAGAGGCTGGTAGATCTCTGTGAGTTCAAGGCCAGCCTGGTCTACACAGTGAGTTTCCCAGGGCCATAAACCCAGAAACAATAAAGGCAGGGCTGGAGATTCTCTCACTCCAGGGGCAGGTCCTTAGCCTCAGCACCCTCAGCCTTGTGGTGATATCACTTCAGGTTTTGCTGGGCTCCCTCAGCCTTGTGGTGATATCACTTCAGGTTTCGCTGGGCTCCCTCAGCCTTGTGGTGATATCACTTCAGGTTTCGCTGGGCTCCTGAGTCCCTACCTCTGCACCCTGGACCAGTGGTTGACCACTGTCCCCGTTTGCTAAGGGTTTGCATGGGCCATGTTCAGAGCCTGAAGTGGAGGTCAGGGGTCATGAGCTTTGATATCTCACAGAGCCTGGAGCCTGCAACCAACTGGGGCTACCCAGTTCCCCCTACTCCAGGTCCAGGCTACACCTGAGAGATTCACCCTACCCAGCAGTTAGCTTCTGCCACTGGGCTGGGTGATCAGGAGTCTCCAGCCTGCAGTCCCTGCTCCACTGTTCCCAACTGTGTGGTCTCAAGTTGAGAGGGAATCGTATTAAGGTGGGAGCATAGGACTGGATGGGAGAGGGTCTTAGTGCAAAGACCCCTCCCCACGGTCCAGTCACCATCAACACTCAATAGCCATTTCTTGCGTGGAGCTGGTGTATCAGCTTTGCTGCAGACATCTTGGTGGGATAGGGACTCCTCCTGCCTCCGAGGAAGCAGTAGGTGCCAGGCATTTGTGTTGAGGGCAGGGGGATACTGGCCGCACACACTGCATCTCAGAGCTACTTTGTATTTATTGTCTATTTCAATTTCTTCAACTTTTATTTACTTATTTATTTTTTTGGTTGTTCGAAACAGGGTTTCTCTGTAGCTTTTTGGAGCCTGTCCTGGTTACTTATTTATTTTTGAGACAGGCTCTTATTCTAGTCTTGGCTGGCATTGAACTCAAGGTCATCCTCCTGCTTCCAGTTCCCAAAAGCTAGAGTTTCGCGTCTGCCCTGTTTGTCTTTTTGTTTGTTTGTTTGTTTAGATAGGATCTCCAGTAGCCCAGGCTAACCCTGGACTTGCTATTCCTGAGGATGACCTTGAACTCCTGATCCTCTCCTCTACTTCTTGAGTGCTAGGATTATAGGCGGAACCACCAGACTTCATGCATGTGATGCTGAGGGACTGAACCCAGGATTTCATGCATGCTAAGCCAGCACTCCACCAGCTGAGCTACAACCAGAGTCTGGGGTTCATCTGTTTTTGTTTGTTTGTTTAGAGACAGCGTTTCTCTGTGTAACAGTCTTGGCTGTCTTGAAACTCTCTTGGTAGACCAGGCTGGCCGCGAACTCACAGAGGTCCACCTCCCTCTGCCTCCCAAGTGCTGGGATTAAAGGCGTGTGCCACCACCGCCCGGCTGGTTCATCTTTTTTTTTTTTTTTGGTTTTTTCGAGACAAGGTTTCTCTGTGGTTTTGGAGCCTGTCCTGGAATTAGCTCTGTAGACCAGGCTGGTCTCGAACTCACAGAGATCCGCCTGCCTCTGCCTCCCGAGTGCTGGGATTACAGGCGTGCGCCACCACCGCCCGGCTGGTTCATCTTTTTTTAAGCTGCCACTCTTTGGCTGCTTATCCTGAGCCACGCTGAGCCAGGTCTTGGCTCTCCTGACCCAGTTAGTTCTCCTTGAACCTGGGAGGGAAGTGGGTTCAGAGTGGAGCGAGACCTCACTCAGGTCCCCCACCTGGTAGCACAGAGAAGCAGACTCACGTCTATGACTCAGGTCTATGGGCCCCAGTGCTGAGCAAGAAGCCCCTGCCCTTTGATTTTTCAGACTCCTTGCTCTCCCCCACAGCTGTTGGCACATGGCCAGAAGTCTAGAACCAATTTCTGGGATAGCTCAGAGGCCTCACGTCTGGTTAGGTTTTCCTGGCACCGGGACACACAGGGCGTCAGTATCTACCCCTCTCTATCTCAGGGTTCCTCTGTGCCCACCTATGCCTCCTGGCTCCACAGCTTCTCTGTCTACCCCTCCCCATCACAGGCCTCTCCTCCAGCTAGTCAGCTAGCCTCCTGGCCTGCCCTAGGGGTCTCTAGTGTCCAGTGTATTGGTTCTTATGAGAGCAGATGTTGGCCATCAGAATCAAATGTCTGATTATGTCTAGAAGGCTGAGGTCCTGCAGGTGCCCTGCCAGAGCCCCTGCTGGGAGCAACACTGCAATGAGCTCTGTGGGAGAATTAGGAAAGAGTCAATGAAGTTCAGTCTGAGGGGAGGGACACAGTTTTGTGTTCAAAGAAGTCTGGTGGGGGGAAAGCAATGCACGCGCACACACACACAGACCACAGAAAATAATGACTGCAGGTCCCTTTCTGGAGATCATCAGTACTACTCATAGTGCCCCTAGGTCTGCACTTCATCCTTGCCACTCACTACCTGGTGCCTTGGATATGCCATGCACACTCTCCGAGGCTTAATTTTCTCATCTGTCAGGTGGGCACGCTGCTACCTGCTTGTTCAAAGCGAAATCCTAGGTGAGGAATCACCATGGTGCCTGACCCGCAGCGCACGCTTGATAAACAGGCAATGTATCCCTGCAGGCCAGGCTTCTCCCCCAAGAGAATCATCTCGTCAGCTCAGGCCAACCTGGCAGTGTGCCTGGCGTTGGTGCTACTGGAGTAGACTGGGCCCCAGGAGGGCAGAGCAAATGAGGAGCTGGGGTGGGTGAAAGCCCTCGGTTGGGGGTGGAAAGGGATCCCTCTGAGCTCAGCCAACCATCCTGGCCCAGGTGGTTCGGGAAGACATTGGAGAATGGGCCTCTGCCAAATTCTGGGGCCTGCTCTCCTGGCAGGGACTCACCAGGCAGAGACACCAATGACTCAGTCTTTGGTCTCCCTCTGTAGGGTTCAGAGGGTCCCCAGGGCAAACACCAGCCCAGGAACAGGACACAGGAGTCCCACTTTCCAGAAAGACAAATTGTGGGACAGAGCGAGCAACTCCTCAGAGGGAGTCCCGGCACAGCGGTAGCCTCCTGCGGTAGCGCTCCGCACACACGGGTGAGAAGTGGGGTGTCCATGGGGAACACATGGTTGTGATCCAGAGGATTAAGCTCAACACTGCTTCTGTACAGCGCCAAGGGCAGCTGACATATCACAGTGGGAGGGACCACCTGGCGCGTCCATTTGCCGCAGGTGCCCGGAGCCTCTTTGGGGAGGCTGGCTTCCAGGGAGGCGGCACCAGGGGCTTTGCGCCCAGGCTGCTGCTCACTTGTTCGCCTTCTCGGTGCTGCTGGGAAAGAGCCCTCTTCACTCCTCCCAAGCGGCTGCAGGCTCATTCTCTCGCTCCTAAGAAACACTCCGGGTGCAGGTGGCAACCACAGTGACTAATGGGCTGGGACAGGGGGCCCTAATGAATAGCTGTAAGCTCCGGACAGCTCTAAAGCAAATAAGAGGAGTCTGGGGGACGGGAGGCGTGGGGCTGGTCGTCAGGTTCACCCAGGCTGGTAGCGGGAGCGCCACGGCGTGAAGAGTTTAGGCTAGACATTATGGAGAACTGTCTGGGTGGTTAGGCTGACATTCTCATTGGGAGCTTTGGTAGAAAAGGCAGGAAACATCTCTGCTAAGCAGAGGGATGGAGGGGATCTCTAGATGACGCCCTTTCCTGGAAGGATCAAAATGGTCTTCAGGTTGCCATGGCAACAAGAGGACTGCCCCTCCCGTAGCCTGAGGAGGTGAGTGAGGGAGCAGGTCCAAGAAAGGGCCTCAGACCTTGGGGGGAAAGGAGTTAGGGTGTACCCTGGAAAGGAGTAGGGTGTACACTGTGAAAGAGAGGGGGTGTCACCACACAACTCCCTTGGGAGAGACACCCAAGAAAGCAGGCAGGCATTAGAGGTCCTCTGGGTTTTCCTCTGCCCCACCCTGCATGGCAGTGTGTTTTTCCAGTCACCAAGGCCATGATGTGGCCAGGTCCCTGCTGGGCTAAGAGCAGCCTGTGATTTCACCCTGGGCTGGTTCATTACCTGACGTCTCTGTGGCAACCAGCCCATGACATCATGGGACTAAAATCTTCAGGGGGAGGGGACTTTGGTAGGGGCATCTGGGTCCCAAGTGGGATGGGAGTCAGGCAGGAACGGGAGGGGCTGGAGCCAGGGGCTACCAGCCCCACCACCACCCCAGCAAATATTTGGTGTCACTGCTGTCCTGGGTTCTCCTGCTCATCCTTGTCACTCCCTGTTCTGCAGCTGGAAGGCTCAGGGCTTCAGTCCAGGGAGTCCAGAAGCATCCCAGCACCCAGCCAGGAACCCAGCACCACCCTGTAGCTAGACGGACTCTGACTTTGCATGACATGCAGAACTCCAGAACACTCAAAGTGTCTCTTAACTTTTTGTTGTTTGGGTGTGTGTGTGTGTACACGTGTGGTGTGTATGTGTATGGTGTGTGTGCATGGTATGTGTGTATGGTGTGTGTATGTCTATAGTGCGTATGCACGTGTGGTGTGTCTCTGTGTGTATGTGTCTCTGTGTGTGGTGTGTCTGTGGTGTGTATTGCGTGCTTGGTGTGTTGCTGTGGATTCTAGACTGACTTGGAACATACCATATATTCCAGACTGGCTTCCAACTCCCGATCCTCCTGCCTCAGCCTCCAGTGCTGGGATCACAAGCATGCGTCACCATGCCTAGTTACAACTTTCAAACTTAAAAAAAAAATTAATTTGAAAAAAATTATCTCATAATAATTCATGCCTGCATCATGTATATTTCTAGTGCCCATAGAGGCCAGGGAAGGACATGAGATCCATGGGAACTGGAGTTAGAGACAGTTGTGAATTGCCATGTGGGTGCTGGGAACTGAACCCAGGTCCTCTGGGAGAGTAGCCAGTTCTCTTCAATACTAGGCCATTTCTCCAGCCCCTAAGTTTTTTCTTTTTTATGCTTTCTTGTTATGTGTTTGTATGTGGCAGTGTGCATATGACGTTACATGTGTGATGGTCTTAGACCAACTGGGAGTCAGGTCTCTCCCGTCACCAATGGCTCCCAGGGATGGAAGCCAGATCAGTGGGCTTGGCATCAGGCACCTTTAAACCACAGAGACATCTTGCTGGTCGAGCTTTTTAATGGATATTTTTGGACCCTGTGGTGAATGAGCATGGCCCCCATATATTTGAACCCTTGGTCCCTAGTTAGTGGAGCTGTTTGGGAAGGATTGGGGGTGTGGCCTTGTTGGAGGAGGTGTGTCACTGGGGATGGGCTTTGATGTCTCAAAAGCCCCTGCTCTCCCAGTTAGCTCTCTCTGCTTTGTGTTCGTGGATCAGGATGTGAGTCTCAGCCATAGTTTCAGTGCCATATCTGCCTGCCAAGTTGCCTTAGTCGTGGTATCTCAGCATTGCAATAGAAAAGTAACTAAGGCCGGGCGGTGGTGGCGCACGCCTTTAATCCCAGCACTCGGGAGGCAGAGGCAGGTGGATTTCTGTGAGTTCGAGGCCAGCCTGGTCTACAAGAGCTAGTTCTAGGACAGGTTCTAAAGCCACAGAGAAACCCTGTCTCGGAAAAAAAAAAAAAAAAAAAAGAAAAGTAACTAAGGCAGACCTGTAGGAAGAAATAAATACATTTTGCATTTTGACCCAGTGTGTATATCTAGAAAATTCTTCCCTGTTCGAATTCTCATACACACACACACACACACACACACACACACACACACAAACACACGCTCCATGACACAAGACTGAATGAATCTCAGGCTGCCTCTGGTCCTGATGATCTCCATTCTGTTCTATTCAATACTTATTTTGTTATTTTTTAAATAGACCCGGTGAAAAGACGGCTGAGGATATAAATGAGGTTCAGTGGGAGAACGCTTCCCAGCATGCACCAGGCCTTGGTTTTGATCTCCAGCTGGAGATCATTCAGATAAATGGATAACCATGTAAGCAGCGAATAAATTAAAAACAAACCTGAGGAATGGCTTACATGACCACTGAAGGATGTGGCCCCTGCCCCGCCATTGAGTCCCTCCTTTTTGGAGATGGGGGTACTGGAGCCCAGAGAAAAGCAACACTGACTTGGGGTCACACAGCAGACTGGAACGCAGGAGGCTGTGCTGTGGACTGTCGAGTCCAAGCACAAGGGGCAGCCCTCATTCTCAGAACCCACATTGTCCTTATGTCTGGGCCACTTTGGGGCAGGATAGGACATTGACTGTCACCTTGCCTTCCTCTCCTATGATGTCCAGACAGCCTGGTTCCAGGCTCCCTGCCTTGGCCCATGCGTTCCAGCTTTGGGGCAGGTCCCAGATCCTCTGGCCTCTTTCGGAAAGTAATTTGGCTGGAAACTTTCACCTTGAACGCAGGCTTGTACTCCCTCCAGCCGGGCTGCCTGTGCCTGTGGTGTGAGCTCTGTGGTGCTTCCTCTGTTGGGACCCCGTTCTGCTCTGACTTGTTGGGGTCTGGAGCGGAGTGTGGCTGGAGACAGAACCCAGTGTTTGACAGAACACCGTTCTCACTAACGGTGGCTTGTCCCTGTCGTGTTGATGTCTGAACGCCTCACTTTTCTCCTTTGTGAAGCCCCCAATGAGATCCTGCTGTGTGCTGGGCATTGCGGCAGGAGCTGGGGCTGCTGCGGCCCATCAGATAGATGAAGTTGGGGCTGGGGAGATCCTTCAGTCGGGCACCTGCCTACATTTCATTCCCAAATCCACATTAGGAGGCCAGGCATGGTAGCCTGCACATGCGGTGCCAGCGCTGGGGCACAGAGGCAGCTGGAGGATCCCTGGCCATGTGGCCTGGCCTACGTGGTCATTTCCAGTCTAATGAGAGCCCTGGCCTCAAAAACAAAGAGATGGATGGATAGATAAATAAACAAATAAATGCGTACATGAATAAAGAGATAAGTAATAGTGCCTGAAGAACATCTCCCAAGGTTGTCCTCTAACCTACACACACGTATATGTTCTCTCTCACTCTCTTACACACACACTCACACAAACACCTAGTCTCAAAGTAAAAAAAATTTTGTATAGTTGCAGTATGTATTTGTATATTAATCTAAGTGCTATTACAAAAGAGTAAAAAAAACATTAATTTTTTTTTTCTTTTTGGTTTTTCGAGACAGGGTTTCTCTCTGTGTGGCTTTGGAGCCTGTGCTGGAACTAGCTCTTGTCGATCAGGCTGGCCTCAAACTCACAGAGGTCCACCTGCCTCTGCCTCCTGAGTGCTGGGATTAAAAGCGTGCGCCACCATCGCCCAGATAATTCTTTTCTTTATAGCCGAGCATTGTGGCTTTTTATTTTTTTGAGACAGGGTTTCTCAGTTTCTCTATGTAGCCCTTGCTGTCCCAGAACTTGCTCTGTAGACCAAACTGACCTCAAACTCACAGAGATCCTCCTGCTCGCTCTGCCTCCTTGAGGGCTGGGCTGGGAGTGGTGGTGAATTCAAGAGGCAGAGGCAGGAGGGTCTCTGTGAGTTTGAGGCCAGCCTGGTCTGTATAGAAAGCCAGGGCTCCATGATGAGACCCTGTCTCAAAAAGTCATAAAGTAAAAATAATTACAATAGCGGCCACATTGGCACAAATCTCTAAGTGCCTCCTGCTTGCCAGGCTGGGGCAGGAAGTTCAGAGATAGCCTGGGCTACATAGAAAGCCTCTGTCTCAAAGATGGAGGAAGGAGAAAAGGAGGAATCAGAAGCTTTACACTTATCCGTTGATGTCAATTATTAACTTAGAGATGAAGCCTTGCATTTTTTGAGACAGGATCTCTCTGTGTAGCCTGGCTGTCATGAAACTTGCTCTGTAGACCAGGCTGGCTTCATACTCACAGAGATCCACCTGCCTCTGCCTCCCAAATGCTAGGATTAAAGATGTGCGCCACCACCACCCAGCTGTCCAGTTTCTTTACACATAAAAGGGATAGCTTATCTCCTCCTTTTTGGTCCAAACCCCTCATTTCTATTACTACCCTATTACTATGATTAAGTAGGTTTTTTTTTTTTTAAATTTCTCCTCCCATCTTTATTTCCAGATCTGCTCACAAGTGCCCAGAAAGACTGCCCCAGGCCCCAGGGCACAGACCTCCTGAATCAGGATCTGACCTCCAGCCAGCATCCGCCTGCTCTTGTTCCGGACCATGATGGTGGCAAGGTAACTGGCCGTTCCTCACCCTCCCTCCAGCTGTTCTTTTTTGTCCCTAAGGCAAGCAGAAGCCATTCTCAGTTCCTTTCTTCCTTGCCAACCCTAGTTTCCCCCTGAGCAATAGGGCACCAGGGGCTTGGCATTCAGCTGGATGAGGGTCTGCCTTGGGCTGGGCACCAGGAACAGGGCCAGACTTATTTAGAATACATAATCCCACCCCAGAGGTCTTCCTGCCCAAATTAACTCAAGTCTTGCAGACAGTAAGTTCCGCTGCCGGTCTAGACTGCTTAGCAGCTGGGAACAGATACTCAAGAGCAAAAGTAGGGGGGTTCTCCACATAGATCAGGAAGGTGTAGTGAGGGGTCCTGGTGTAGCGAGGGGTCCTGGTGTAGCGAGGGGTCCTAGTGCATACTTTCCATACTCGTCCAGGGGTGTGGCTTGAACCTACCAGTTTACTTTGTTTGTTTTAAGATTTATTTATTTTTCATTTACGTGTATGAGTGTTTGACTTCATGTGTCTATGTTCACTGCTTGTGTGCAGTACCTGTGGATGCCAGAAGAGGGCAGTGAATCCCCTGGGACTAGAGGTACAGATGGTTGTGAACTGCCTTGTGGGTGCTGGGACCTGAACCCATGTCCTATGGAAAAATAACACATGCTCTCAACTACTGAGCCATCTCTACAGCCTTAAGATGCTGTTTTTAATTTTTTTGTTTCATCATTAATGTTATTATTATGATTATTTGATTTTTTTTGTTCTTGATGTTTTTCCATTTTTTAAGACAGGGTTTCACTATGTTGTGCTGGCTGTCCTGGAACTCACAGAGATCCTCCTGCCTCTGCTTCCCTGGTGCTGGTATTAGAGGCGTGAGCCTTCATACCAGCTAGGTCATTGGTTTTTGAACTCCCTAGTCTCCAGGTATCAGGAAATAATGAAAGTATACTCTGGTCTAGGCCGGATCTATCACCGTCTCCTTCTAAGGCCAGTGTGTCCCACTGTTTTTAGTGCTAAGGGACAGCGGGCAGACCTTGATTTCTCAGGTGGAGCCACCCTACCCTGCAGGGGCTTCAGGCCTTAGCCATGTCACAGTGTCCCCAGTCCTGACTGGTCCCCTTTCTCCTCTTGCTTCAGGACAAGCAACTGGATTTCTGTTGGGATCCGTGGCAGGTAAGTGTGCTTGCTCTCCTGCAGTATGGCCAGCCCAGGGAATGGATGGGATCTCCCTGTCTTTCTCTGCCTGGTCCCTGGCTGCCATCCACGGATGAGTGGGTGGCCACAGTGGTCCGCAGGGGGCAGGGGGACAATGTCCTCTGGCTGACTGCCCTTCCCTCCTACCCCTTCTTTTTCTACAGAGGTGCTTCCAAACCACCAATGGCTACATATCAGACTCTAGAGCCTGCCCCAGCAACTACAGTGTGGCTGCCCTGGCCACCTCATCCCTTGTGGGTAGGTCCCCACAGTCCCTTCCAGCCCTCCCCGGACGTGTGTTGAGGGGAGGCAATGGGTCACAGTCATGCTGGGTTAATATTTTCTAATTGCCAGATTTCAGGCTCAGTTCCTCTCTCAGGAGTTGGCTTGCTGGGTTTTCAGGCCCTGGGGATGCCTCAGAGGGAGGAGGGAGGTGCAGCTTTTGGGTGTCTGACTGCGTGGTCTCCCACGTCACCTTGGGTCTCGTTCCCTAGAAGCAGAGCCTGAGGTGGGGCCTGTGCCCCCAGGGAATTGCTCTTGGGCTGGCCCCTGGGGTGTGAAGGCAGTTGGGGAGGCTGAGGATTTTGCTCAATGGAGACTTGGTTATAGCTGTGGCTCTCTCCCTGCCTCGACCCACTGGGAGCCCTGCAGCATGGTCGCCTGAGGATCAATGGCACTTGAAGACCACAGGTCTGGACTTAAGTCCTCAGTTGTCCGTGAGGAGGACTGTGTCGCCTTGAGGGCATGAGGCCGCACCAAAGCTGTGATAGTTTTTCTGAAGCAGGTGTGGGAACAAGCCAGGAGCAACACGCCAAGGAGGCTAGGAGAAGGGCGTGCAAGTGGGGTGGAACACCCACGCAGTTGTACTTGGCTGCAGATGGCTCTCAGCCAACAACCAGGCCGCTTAGCCCACCAGCGCCTCCTACAGCTTCTCACACTGCAGGCTCCCATAACAGTCCTTCCAGGTTCCCACAGGACCCGGCCGCCTCCTTCTGCCCCTGTCTCTGCAGCTCCCTCCACTTGCTACACCTGCCATCCACCTCGCCCTGTCCCCAAGCATCTGAGAAACATACTGTCTCTCCAGTGAACTCCGCAGTCCAGCACCCCATTGGGGGAGCAGGTCTCCCCCTCCTTCTCATCTCCATTGTTCCCATGCTCCTGGTCCCTCATTCCTGTGGACTTCTTATCTGTCCTTGGAACTCGCATTCCCCGGGGCCTTGTGTCTGCCTGGCTTTAGGGACCCTGGGGATGCCCAGATCTGTCCCTGGTTCCATTAGCGATGATGAGCGGTTCCTGCCTCCTCCTCTTCATTACTGTCTACACTCAGCCAGTCAGGTCCTACGCTCCCCAAGTCCTTCTCCTTCTGTCTAGCCCTGGCCTGCCTCTTGCTGGGTCCCTGCAATGGTCCTGAATTGTCCCCTACCTTCCTTCTCCACCGTTGAACTTTAATCTTTCAATTAGGATGCTATTTCCAAATAACATACCAAACTTCCCTCTCCCCTGGTCCGTGTCTGGCTGGGGCTCTCCACTGCTATGTAGACAACACAGGGCTGTCACCTTGACTCTCCAGCCCCAGTCTGGTCCCTGTGGGGGCTGCCAGCCTCTTGTCCCTGTGCGTCATCCTTGGTTGTACTGGTGTGATGCCAGCTCCTCTGTGCCATCAACCCCGTCTCACCTGTGGAACAGCCTGGCTCCCTTCCTTCCCACCACCGCAGACCTTCAGAACCCAACTGCAGGCCACTTCCTCCAGGGAGCATTCCCTGAGTGCTCCACCCCAGAGTCTAACTCCACAGAGCAGGGAGCACAGGGAAGCTCCCTCAGAACTGTCGGTTCGTGAGTGGAGGGTGCTGAGTCCCAGAGGAACTGAAGGCCTCAGCTAGTCTAAGGGGTGGCTGGTTTGGAAACCTGATTCAAATTCAATAAGACATTGGGAAGGTTGGGGGGTGGACATACGAATGGGTGAGACATGTAGGTGAAGTAGGGCCAAGGCTGGGGAGGGCACGGGGTAGGGTGTGGGACTTGTGAGGCAAAGCTCCCCCTGGTCATGGTTACCGGAAACTGACAGGCACAGGCTTAGAGATCAGGGGTGGTTGGGGTACAGAGCATGGGATGGCCTGAAATGGGGTTTCTGCTGACCTGGTCACCCGATAACCATCTGTGACCTCCTCGCAGGGGTGGTACAAAGCATCAAGGACCACATCACAAAGCCCACAGCCATGGCCCGTGGCCGAGTGGCCCATCTCATCGAATGGAAAGGCTGGAGCGTCCAGCAGTCAGGCTGGGAGCTGTCCCCAGGAGACGACGAGCATTATTGCTGTCTGCCTGACGAGCTGCGGGAGGCCCGCTTTGCTGCGGGTGAGCGGGGCGGGTGCAGGGAGGGAGGCCATAGGTGGGCGGGGTCTGCTGGAGTGAAGCTCGGTCTGAGCACGGGGGATGGCGGATGGGGCGGGCGCTAGGTGGCGTCCCTCCTCACCTGGGTAGAGAGGGAGGCCCGTGTAGGCATAGAGTGCCCCTTTCCCACCCATGGGTTCACCGAACCCGATCTTGCTGTCCGCCAGGTGTCGCTGAGCAGTTTGCTATCACGGAGGCCACTCTGAGTGCCTGGTCCTCCCTGGATGACGAAGAACTGCAGCCGGAGGACAGTACCCAGGGTGCCTTCCAGCTCCAAGGTACGGCCGGTTGTACCAAGGCAGGGTGGGCGGAAGAGCACTGAGGGTGGCTCCTGGGTCGCTCAGGTGGGCTCCTTCCTCTCCCCGTCCCCTCTTCTCCATGGCTTAGCTTCCTTCTCAGTAACCTGGGAGCGGCAGCTCTGGCCTACACATTCCCAGGGAGTGCCCCAAGCCAAAAGGAAAGCCTGGCTGCGGTGTGGCTTGAGTTGGCACTAGGTGCATTGTGGGTCTGCTTTCCCAAACCTGGGTCCTGGTGAAGCGTGCATTGACTTAGCTCACTTGATTCTCCCTATGGCCAGGAGGGGAGGGCACAGAGGACCAGAAGGAGCACCCATAGTCACACTGCTCATCACTTCCTGCTCTTGGCTACTCTACTCCCTGTCATGGGGAGACAGCTGAGCTCAGAGAGATTCGGAGACCTGCCTGGGGTCACAGAGCTTAGCAGTGACATACCAGGTCTTCCACCCCTTGCCTGTCCTCCCACGCCCAAGGAGGTAGGATCCAGGATGCGGGATTCCATCTCTCATCTGTACCCTCTTTTTGGTATTCTAGACCTGGAGAGCATCTACCTTCAGGACAGCCTCCTGAGTGGCCCTTCACAGGACGACAGTCTCCTAGCCTGCTCCCCTGGCCTCACTCTCGATGATGGCTGGCCTTCACTGGAGGAGGAGCCCGCTAGCCCCACCCACCAACACCGGCAGAGGCTGCCTGGGGCTCAGGGGCCTGACAGTGGAGGGGCCCACGTGCATGGCTCCCTGCCCTCCGTGGACAGTGGGTCTCTCTCAGAAGACGAGGATGAGGTATTCTACAACTGAGGCGAACTGGCCACTCCACACTTCTCTGGGAGCCCAAGGCACCGTCTGCTGGCACTGAACATCTCTTGACTCCTTGGGCCAAACACAGGGTGGAGTGTGGCAGGGATGGTCACTGTCATTCTTGTGGAGACCACTCAGTGCGTCCATGGACCTGCCCTCAACAGTGGGAGGGAGCCCCCTGCTTTGTGGGCTTGGCCCCTCTAGGGCCTCTGCCTTCAGCCCACTCCCAGACTCTAAGCAGACACCAGGGCAACTGGCCCCAGGAGACTGGCACTCAGGCCCCTAGGAGGACACCAGGGGAAGATTGGGAGAGTGGGGGAGTCATTTGGAGGGGCCTGGGAAGCCAGCCTTGACTTGGGCTCATCTTCTCGCCACTCATCTGTCCCATGGAAGGTGGGACAGTTTCTTCTGGTCAAGCCATTCCTTGCCTCTCTAACATCTCTGGAGGGTCTGTCTGTTCCTCCTCTCTTACCTGGTTCCTCCGTGACCCCCGTGCTCCCAAGCCAAGAGAACCCACGTCTCCCCTTACCCCCTTCATCTCCCACAGGGTTCTCTGGTGACATTAAAGTAGTGTGCTCATCCTGGATGAACTTGACCTGGTATCCCAGGGAGAGCGTGTTCCTGAGCCCTGGATGAGGGTCTATAGGGCTTAGGGGGGACTCCTCCCTCCAACACACAGATACCCGAGAGGCCTCAAAGGAGGAGGTCTAGGGCATCTTCTTATCCTCAAAGAGCCACACCCAGAGACCTCCCTTTGCCAGTTGAACCACAGCCAGGGAGATCAAGTCTGGAGACCTCATCCCCAAGGTCCTGTTAGAGGTGAGGCCAAGCATTATACGACCTGGTAGGGACCCTCATTTCCCTCTATTTCCCTACTGAGAGGTATAGATTGAAGAGCCCCAGGCCCAGCCTGTGATGCCCATGTGAGCACCAGATGCCCCAAGGGCTTAACCTAGGCCATCACTGGAACCCAAGGGGCCAAATGCACACTCTTGAGGGAGAACAGGCATGAATGGTGGCTCTGGGCATCACTTTTATTTTTCTCAGGAGCTACTGGTTGGGACTAGATCACCTCAGAAGGCACAAACACCAGGGCGAGATTCTTTTCCTTCCTCTGTCCCTTCAGGGTGGGCCACAATGAATGTGGAACCCTGTTCAGGCTGGCAGGGCTGCGTGCCGCACTGAAGGGCTGAGTTGGGCTAGAGAGGGTGGAGTCGGGAGGGAAGAGGGGATGGGACTCCGTGCTGCAGCCTCTGGAGCCAGGCAGGGGTCGTCATTCCAACTCCCAGGCTGGCTCACTTGGGGGCTGGTGGGTTGACCAATGTGGAAATGGCTTTCTTCAGCTGTAGCAGAGGAAGAGGGATTGAGGGGGATGGAGAGTTAGAGGGGTAGAGACAGCTCTGGCCTCCATCATCAACAGCACCCTCGATGGTCAAGTCTGTGGGTTTATAGCTGGTGCCTACCCCATGGCATAAGGGACACCGAGTCCAGAGAGTGGCAGGCTGGTAATTGATGTCCAAGGCTCAGTGACCCCTCTAATCCAAGGATTATAGTGTATCTCCCTGTCTTTGAAAGGGAGGATGTTGGTGCCCCCACCCCCAACTCTGCTTTGACCACCCTCGAGACCCCAGTACCTCTACCCAGGACACAGAGCCCACGGCTCTGCCCCGTGATGTCACGAACAGCGTCTGAAGGGTCAGCAGCTCAAAGAGGCTGTGTGTCTGGAGGGGAAGTTGACAGGAAATGGTGGAGTCAGGGAACACCCCTGTGGCCACCATACCCTTCTCTGTGCCAGCTGAGTGGAAGAACAGAATCCAGCCTGCAATGTCTAGTCTGACCACTAGGTGGTAGTCAGAATCCATGACAGAAGCAAGGGCTCAGGTAGGTTGGTCCAGGTTACCAAGCCCCTGGGACACCATGCCTTGGTAGGTCCCTAGGCTGCTTCTATCACCAGTCCCACACAAGTGCCTGCTCTGAGAGGTTGGGTGATCTACTAGCTGTCACACAAAGGGGAAGCTCCTCAGATTGGGATCCTTTTGTGATGTATAAATTTTAAAAAGGTTTTGTTTTGTTTTTCAGAAAAGGTTTCTCTATATAGCCCTGGCTGTCCTGGAACTTGCTATGTAAGCCAGGCTGGCCTCACACTCACAGAACTCCTCCTGCCTCTGCCTCCCAAGTGCTGGGATTAAAGGTGTTTGCCACCATGCCCAGCTTTTCTTCTTTTTTTAAACAATTTTATGTTTATGGGTATTTGTCTGCATGTATGTCTGTGTACCACATGCATTCAGTGCCCCTAGGGTACAGAGGGGGTTTTGAATCCTCTAGGATTGGAATTATAGACAGTTGTGAGCTGCCATGTGGTTGTGGGAATTGAACCTTTATCCTCTGGAAGAGCAGCCAGTGCTCCTAAAGCTAAGGTATCTCTCCTGCTCCATGGGATGCTCCTGACAGTTTCTACCCAGAGGCATGTTTCCCAAGCTCGCTCACTTCCCTGTCTCTCCTCCGCATGGCCCCAGCAATCCTGGCGGTGAGGGGCTCACAGGCTGGGGCTGCTGTGCACATCTGCAGGTGAGAAGTGTGCACATGTGTGTGCGTGCATAAGTGTGTATGTGTGTGTGTGTGTATGCACGCGCGCACAACACTGAACAGTGGGAGGAGGTGGAGCCTAAGGGAGGTGGAGCCTAAGTTTCCCTATCAGGTGCTCCCTCTCCACCCACTTTCTCTAATTCTCCCTTACCTGATACAGGGAGGTCTCTGGGGACAGCTGCAGGGTCACTGGCAGTGTGGGGCAGCCACCAGCCAAGATGTCCTGAAGAAAGCGCTGGGAATTGGGGGAAGATGATGGAGGCCTGAGCCAGCCTTCAGTTCCCAGGCTCCCGTTCTCTAAACTCCCCCTTCACAGCCCTGCTCACACCCCCACCCTGTCCCCACACCTGGCAGGGGGACCCACCTGTTGGCCTGGAGCCCAGGAAGCTGGCTCCGTCTGGAGGGCCTGCACCAGGTGTGTTCTTTCCACAGTGCCCACCAGGATCTGAGACTCTAGGCAGTGCAGAGGAGGGACATATTAGGACTATGAAAGTTATTTTATCTGAGCACCTACTATGTGCCAAGAACATGCTGGGTGCTTGTTTCAAAGATTTATTTACATTTTTATTTTGCATGTATGAGTGTTTTGCCTGCTCATGTATATGTGTATGTGTGCGCACACTGTGTATACTTCCCCACAGAGGCCAGGAGAGGGTGCCAGAGTCCCTGGAACTAGAGTTAAGAACAGCTGTAAGCTACCATGAGAGTGCTGGCTCCTTCAAGAACAGCAGTGCTCTTAACCACTGGGCTCTCTCTTCAGCCTCATGCTGGGTGTTCTTGTTTCTCCGAGGAAATTTACAGAATTTTCTGTCTCTCAGGACACTTGTCACCCAGTTTATAGACGAGGAAGCACAGACTGAGTGGCACAGTTGGGTAACTGTCCTGCCCACAGAAATTCAAGTTTGGGCATGGATATGTGGCAACTGGGGTGGCTGCATCACCTTTGACTGGAATCCCCAGAGTCCTCCCTAGGCTGCTTTACAAGTCTTCTCATCTCTAAATAGGACACAGACCTTAGTTATTGCTTCTGTGTCATCCACGAATAAACCAAAGCACAGAGAAGCTGAGTGACTTTTCCCATGTCACAGCAGAGCCTGGATTCCAACTCCCTGCTTGCTCTGCTGCCTTGATACTCACAGGGACTCTCCACCCATCCTCCCTGGCAGCCTCCCCCCACCCAGGATGAGTACCTCTGGTCTCCACCAAGGGGTACTGAGCCACATCTGTAGAGGTCACGACTTTGACCACCTCCTCCAGGGGCATGTCCTTGGCCAGGGTGGTGAGGGTACAGTTCATGAAGTGTTCCACAGTCACAGGGTAGGAGCTGTGGGCAGAGGGATGCATATGTCAGGCCCTGCATGGCAGTGCTAGCCCTCAGGAAGAAGCAGGAAACCTTGCTGGGAAGGACCCATGTGTGATAGTTAATATTTATCTTCAACTTAACAAGACCTAGCATCATGGAGCCTCAGTAAAATAGTTTTAGGCTGTGTTTATTGAGGTAGGAAGACAACCCTAAAAGTGGGTGCAGAACCACCCACGGTGAGTGTGGATGCAGAACCACCCACGGTGACCGTGAATGCGGAACCACCCTAAACGTGGATGCAGAACCACCCACGGTGACCGTGGATGCGGAACCACCCTAAACTTGGATGCAGAACTGTCCACGGTGAGCTATGGCCCTGAACTAGGACCAAGCGCAAGCTGAGCACCATTTCTCTCTGCTTCCTGATGTGGATGCCATGTACCCAGACCCCCACACTCCTGCTGCCACACCTTCCCTGCCAAGATGGACTGCGCTCTCAACCTGTGAGTGGGAATGAACCTTCCCTTCCTGAAGTTGCTTTTGCCTTGTGTTTTATTGTAGCAAGGAGTAAATGGGCAAATGCTTTTAGTTTCTGAGTGCACGATGAGGGGGGACACTTAGGACCCTGCAATGGGAAGGAACAGAGACCTGCTCCCTAGTGGGAGTATTCTGCACCCTCTGCTTCCGGCACTAGCCTCGCCGGGGACTGTGTCACCTAGCAGAATTCTGCTCTAGAGAATTTCTTTTGGTTCTGTTTGGTTTTCACACCTGAGAGAATTTTAGTTTTTGAGAGCATGAGAAAAGGCACAGCCACAGGGCCGCCGAGGGTTTGGAACAGGACGGCAGCTTGCATGAGCTTGGAGCTGGACCCAGAACACGGCGGATCTTGCACCTCTGGTCCTATTGCTGTAGGAACTAAAACCACTGGGCACAGTCTGGTGGAGGAAGGACCTCAGACCCCATTTGCGTCCCTGCTCCTGACTACCCACCCGGCTCAGAGAGCAGGGCAAGAGAGCCAGGAGAGAAGCCTGGCCTAGCTGGTGCTCAACCCCCCTCTTGACCTGAAGCAAGACAGACACCTGTCTGAACCCCTGCTTCCTCTCCTACCACATGAGGGTGGGCTGAGGACAACTGCATTGAATTTGGGGGGTCCCTTAGCTCCTAGGGGCTGGAGGTATGGCTCAGCTGCTAACGGCTAGGCTCACAAGCAAAAATATAAGAGTTCCATTCACTTCACTTCTTAACTCCCAGACCATCCTGGGACACCCCGTTAGCCAACTTGAAACTCACCCAATCTTACGGCCACGAATCCACGGCAGGTATGGCAATTTCTTGGCCATGATGGTGCCATCATAGAAAGAGGGTTGACAGTTTTGGGAGATGGCATTGGCCGCCAGCACTGCCATCAACACAGGCAGTGCGTGAACGATCTGTCCGGTCAGCTCAAAGGCCAGCAGCGCCGTGGAGATGCTGTGGGTCACCGCCCCAGAGAAGGCAGCAGCTCCTGCAGGGACAGAGCCATGGTGGGTGACTCAGGCCAGGAGCCAACTCACCCAGAGGGCAAGGTGGGTAAAGTGTGACCATGGCTAGTGTCAGCAATATCCAGAGGGCACATACTAGAAACTGCTAGCAATGCTCAGGTGTGGCGAGAGAAAAGGGATATAGAGGGCATAAGGAATGGGGGAGGGGAGACGGAGCTAAGAGAGAGCTGGGAGGTTCGGAGGATGATGGGGTTCAGGGAGTGGAAGGCACATTGTACAGTTCACGCCATAGACAAACATCAGCCCCTTCAACCATAGTCTAGCCCATGTGGTCTTCCTACTTGCTGGACCCAGGTTCACTCACCTGCCAGAGCATAGCCCCCAGGCATGATGGGGTTGACCTCACCTCCAGCCACAATGCCCTCTGGGAAGGCAACAGCTAGGGCCTCTCCCAGGAGGCGCCCGATGACAGCTCCTGCCAACAGACTCAGAGTGAAGGGGCAGTCAGGCTGACCAGACCCCCTTCTCAGTACTCCTGGGAGACAGATGGTGTGCGGGAGCCATGGTTATGCCCCATGCCCCCCGAATCTCCCTGGAATCCAGACTTACCGATGATGAATATGGGCATGAAGTACCCAGCAGGCATGGGGATTGTGGTAGCCAGA